TTAATAAGTTCAATTCATCATCGCATACTATATCGTTACAGCCAGTCAACCAGACATGCTCACAAACCTCTCAATCTGAGATCTCGAATATAAAATGAACCTAAAGTGAGACATTCTTTATTTATTATATTCACCAATTTTGTGGATTGCGTATATACTTCGGTTCGTCACATACATTCTCGGGAAACTGGAACTTACCTGTGAACAAAAAAAAAACTACATAAAGCATACGCCAAACAAAATGTATTCTAAGTAATAAATTAATTAGCTTAAGCATTACTATTCAGCGAGGAAATGCAGCTAGCGTTCTTGGCACCATGCCGCGTGGAGAATTTAGTTAGATGTAATTCAGCAAATATTGGATATAATTAAGTTAGTATGGTAATATTTTAAATATTTTTTGTGGAATAAATTGTAGTTCTAAGTATAATTTAAAGTAGAGTTTGCCATCCCGGTGATAGTTTTAACACGGCATAAACAAAATTGAAGTCGACTCCTCATCATCCTCCTGCCACCTAGGTGGAGTCGGCATAACGTGTGAATCATGTTGTAATCTGTTTTGCCTGACCCTCCTTGGAACAAAAACACCCAGATACGGAACAATTATATGAGGATCACACAAACACTTGTCCCGCGTGGGAATCGAACCCACGACCCCCGACGCAAAGCCAATAGCTTAGCAACGGCGCCATCGAGTCAAAATTGAAGTCAACTATGATATAATTATTAATTTTCAGTGCAAAACTGTTATGAACATGAAAATTAAATGGGAATAGAGTACCGATAATTTTTCGACAATTTATATATTAAACTCAGAGTAGGATGAGTTCAAAATTTACTTTTTAAAATCTCGAATTGAACGATGTATACGCATTTTATATATAAGTTTGTACTGAACCATGAAAGGATAATTAAGTGTTGATCTTTCTTACAAGTTCGGCGGGACGTCGTATCAAACTTGCCAACGTAGAGGGAACTTTGCGAAAACCTCCGGTCTATGTGATTTTATATCGTGTAAAAAGTGTAATAAATCATTGTTATAGGTCCTATGTAGTGAACGAAGTACATAAAAAATGGGTATATAACGTGATTAACTTATCGCTGTTCGCGCATTCGTTCCCATAATTTATATTCGATGGCAATGAAATTCTGGTGCCCTGGAAGGTTTCCCAGTTAGTAAGAAACCGTTACAAAACTTGCCGGGCATTATCTAATTAAGTAGTAACACAAAAAGCAGGTTTAACCACGTTTTCAGTGGTAATAACACACTATTGTACCACATCTAAAAATATATAGGATCAATATAACTTGTATTTCATATCCTCTTGCTTGCAAAAAAATAATACAGAAGCTGCAATTTTGAAAGATGATTAAAAAACACAGTTGCCCTTTTTGACTAACAGCTTAACACTGTGTTGACATTGGATTAAAAATGGAAAAACAAACGGTCAGTTTGTTTCATAAATAACCCTGTCCATTATCACACGTTACTTTAAATTCCATTTTCAAAATAAACGGAATCACTCGACACGATTAATCAACGCCTCTACATTTTTAGATGTTTAACGCGTACGCGGATTTTCGATGACAGTGCATGTCAAATTTTTTCCCGCCGCAGATTGACAGCGGTATGACAGCCCCGTCTCATGGCGGGAAACTGTCATCGAATTTGTTCCCCCGACATTTCGAGTTTTATCGGAACATTTTTTATCTGTGCACATGTTACGGACGCCGTTTAAAACGGAACTCTGCAATGAGCTCAGTATCCTATAGGGTCTATTGTTTGACAAACTAATGTATTTTAATTCTTCTTTACGTGCCATATTAATCACGTAATAGTTTTTAACGTTTAGTATCGAGACCAATTTCGAGTTAAATGGATGATGATTGTCTAGAATAATAAGTAATTCAGTGTCTATAGTGCATGCTACATATTTAAACATATAGAAACGAGACAGCCATTACAAACGCAGCCTTTCACAGGGACTCGACCGAAAATTTGTAATTTTTTGGCATGATAACACAACTATCAAGCTACTTAGTACCATTGGACACCATATATGTTTTTTTTTATCGGAAGGACGTTGTTAACTTTTATTGCGCACGCGCACAATGTCGGTTAGAGCATGCGTTCGAAAAATTACCCGCACTTAGGCAGCGTCTTAAATCAATCCGTAAACAGGAAGCTGTAAGGGAGCTAAGGCCTTGCGGCGGAAGTGCTGTAATTCTATGCAGATAGCCGGTTTCTACGCTTTGTTTGCGATCGAACAAAGAGATAATTCGGCAGAGGTCTTTGTACGAGACCAATGACTTGTAAAGCGACCGATCTTATTTTTCGGTAGGTAATACGAAATGTTGTCGCTGGCAACACTATACACCGGTTATGACGTCATCAATACGAGCGATGAGGCACCTGGTCACATGAAGCAGCGGTCACGGATAACTTTCATTAGGGCGCTGTTCCTGGACGGTCACATAATTACAAGGCGATGTGAGGAAAGCGACAGCATAAACTCGTTTGAACCATATAACGATACTACAACGGCTCAGTAAAAACGTCCATTTTGAGCACGGTAATTTTTCTTTACGCTGTGTTAAACTGAACAATAAACCTGCAAATTTCTTACTCAGGCCCAGAACAAGGCTAGCACCGTCTAAATTATTCATTAGCTGTACGTCAACCGAGCTATAATTACTGGCTCCGGCTGTGTCTTGCGGGATCTAGGGGATTGCTCTGGTAACGTTTACGCGCGCGGGAGATCGTGTCATCGCCTACAGGCATGCGCCAACTTTGAAATCCTTCGGGTGTTGGTGCTCTGCGACAATGCCTAATTTCTCACAAGCGTCATTCGTTACAAAGGGCGTTCCTTAAAACGAGTAGTTTCATTGCTAATATTAATTAATATCGCATCTTTGTTCTTATAAGATAATTTCTTTTTTTTTTTTTCCGTTTTTTTTTTTTCGGAACGTCACAACCATAACCTCCATTATCCTTCACCAAATTTAATGATTAAACACAATTATGTTTGACGCTATTGAAAAATATAATAGCGTTAATATTTTCATATAAAAAACTTGCGTTTAAAAGCTTCTTACGAAGAATGTATGATAATGCCATCTGTTGACAATTTGTTTAAACGAAAACTTCAAAATCAGCTACATTTTATTGATAAACATTGTTTTGTACAGTATTATATTCCTATCAAGTTAATTATTAACCTAGTTGGGATGGAGGTATCGACTTCGCACATTTGATAGAGATTGGTCAGGATCTTGCTTCGTGGCAGTCTTTCAGTTTTCTGTTCAGAGACTGAAATGATGATGATGAATTTATTAACTAGTATACAGGGTGCCCAAATTTACACAGGACGTTCAGACTCGGTAGTATAATCGTTTATTGAAATAAAAAAAAAAAGTTTATTTTCCAAAAAAAATGAAAACAGAACGTGTTGACGATGCGGTAGTCATTCATAAATACCTAAATTTAACTGTGCACGAACTTATGTGCGTGTTAGTTATGAATGATAAAATAAATGAGTTGCGTATAAATCACGCCCTTTTTGAGATAAGTTCAAATGAATGTAATCAATTACTTACGAGTGATTTTAAATATTTTTCATTTTTTACATAACATTATTTATGTCTAGAATTTAATAAAAAAATGAATACACTTAGAAAAGCCACCCTGTATATAACTGCAGCACTTAGCTGAAATGGAGTTCCAATTTGATGTCATAATAGTTATTTTTCTGTTTATGTTTTGAATATGTATTTTTTAAGTGATGTCAAATGAAGAGATTTTCTTTCTTTTCTAGTTCTTTATTTTTCATTGCAACGTGACGAGTGGTATGTTTGTAACTATGCACAGGTCAACGAAAACTGGTAAACGGGTTCAAGTCACAGAGAGTTGATTCTACAACCTCCTACAACCTCCTGATTGGCCACCACTGTATACATGAGACATAAACTCGTGAGACATAAACTTTCCCGTGTTAGGCTGGGATTTTAATTTTACGGTGCTTATCATTCCTTGCTTCCAACCAAGAGTCGGCACCTGAACTTCCATTTTTCAGGGCGTCATCCGAACTGATGTTAACCGCGGGCGACATTGATTTATACGGAGACCCTATTGAATTAAGCACCAGAGTCTGGCGGTCTAATTACGAACGAACTTTAATCAGCATTAATTATGCTCAACTAGCGCTTGTCTACGGTGTAATTGGATTCGACGTTAACGTTCTTATCATTTCTCGATTCGATAACACCTCCCGACGACGGTAGGAGATTTATAATCTCGATATACTTTTGCTACTCAGCCTAATAAGTTGCCTATAATAGGGTGCCGCGGTGACAGACGTAGTCGCTTAGATTTTCATACATTTGCATGGTAACAGTCATTTATATGATAAACTTATGCTCTTCTTAATGATCAGAATGATCAATTCAAAGAGTTTCACCATCCCTTTGGCAGCTTAAATGACATTTGAAAAGTCATTTGACAGCTGATTAGTTAACTTCTACGATGATCACGCCCGGTTTCTGAAACACTGATATAAAGAAGATCATTCTGGTCAATTCAGAGTTTAAACATCCTTTTGGCAACTAAAATTAAATTTGAAATTCATTTGACAGCTGATTAGTTGACATCTACGTTGATCAGTGTTTCAGAAACCGGGCGTCAGAGTTTCAGAAACCGGGCGTAAGTATTGCTGTTATGAGTTAATCGATTTTATCTTATTAAGCGTGAAAAACCATCTGTAGAATAAGCAATGTCTACATTGTTCCTGTACACAAATTATGTTTTTTACATGGAAATTTAAGCAGGCACGCATCGTGGAAGCATGGACAACCAAAAAAAAAATTAGGGCAGCAGCGTCCTACGCTGGAATAGAACCCGGATCCGCGACGCGACAGCCCTTCGCTTAGAATCGAAACCGATTGTGTAACCAAATTGTCTTTGAGCAGTCGAGAATTGAATCGAAAATTCCCATTAGATTAACATGTTCGCGGATCGTGTTGATAATAGAAGCACGTTAAAGATCGCTGAAGTGCCTCGTAACCTCCCGAGCGAATATGTTTGGAGCGGGGAGCGCCGGCGGAGGTGCGATACGATTCACAGACTCCGTCGCGTTCCAGGATCAGACGCACTCACACAGACGCCCGCGCACCGACAGCACGGGGTGGGGGGTGTGTGGGGTGACGCACACAAGGGTGGTTTTCGGCGCGGCGGCGCTCCGTGGGCGCGGAGGGTGAACGGCCTACCCTTCGACCTTCAGACTGGGGGGGCGGCGGGCGGCCGTCTCGGAAACACCCCCAGCAATCACGCGGGGCGGTCGGGTTGTGTGGGAAAATTTGTCAAGCGCTGGGAACCCGGGCTGTTCGTTCATATGTATATATATATATATAGGTACGGATACCGTGTTGCAGTAAATTATAATTTCAAGCTTCCCTTTGAAGTTACGGTGCAAGTTGGCGTTATCTTTAGCCTTCTGGGATGACGTTTTCCATTTCTGTTCTAAGTACTGTGTAGCTGAGTTGGTCGTTTTAGGTATGCGGGTTTGGTATCTATATGTTGTTCATATATCATTTTATAATAATGCGCATTTTGGCTTAAATGTTAACTGATTTTGTTGTCATATGTAATGGTCCTCCGCTCTGTACCAGCGACTCTTAAGGTCGGTTTCGCAGAAAAGTCACTAAGATTCCGAGAATTTTCTTGTCTTTTGCTGTTAAATAATTCCGAAGTATCAAATTTTGTTTCGAAATGGCGTGAAATATCTGTGTTCTCGATGAAAGAATGAACATCGACTGTTCCGTAAAAAGTCGCTCCTCTCAATTTGAATTACAATCACAACTTTCGGACGTATAATATAATAACGAACTTTAAATAAATATCCGCAAATATTAAAAAAGCAGTAAAAGAATTCCGTTCTTCAAATTTATAGTTAAAACGTTGAAGAATGATAAAGGTGTTTTGTTATCATATAAATTTTAGTGTCCGTCATTAAAAATCATTTGATGCGGTGTAACATTAAATGGGTCCTAGTGCGGGATTCGTTAACGTAAAAGGTTAGGAGGGAGGATAAATACCTTACCGCAATGTGGTAAGGTGTTTATAATTTGGCGTTCCGCCTGATAAGTGAGGAAACCATGGGCGTCGTAGATTACTGAGCACAAATAAAATGCGTCATCAGGACCTTAACTCGAGAATTCGGGAGGCATTTTCGACGTCCACTTTTCCGCATTCGGATATCCTACGCATGAAAACGTCTGCCCAACGTATGTAATCTTTTTTTATGTGAGATGGTTCCACACAAACTCACGGTTAGTATGATAATAATATTGACATTTGCAACACCCGTTGGGTTGCAGATGCGTTGTCAACTTTTACTAAAGTGGGCCCCGGCTACCTCTCTCACCAGGTGAGAAGTATAACACTTTCACTTCGCGCCAGTCTTCTGTCGGTCGTGGTACTTACCCCGTACCATGTACCGTGGTACCCGGACTGACCTGCCCATTCGTGCAACAGCGAAGACTGTTTCATCCTACCTACTATGTTTATTTTTTTTAACGTGGGATCCTTGTATTGTGCAACTTTTAAGTTTTAAAGGCATCAAACGCAGGTCTAACGCTATCAGCGCTCTGCGTCTTCCAAGAACCGTTAGTCCTCCAATAAAACACACCGAAATAAACAGGCCTGTGTACATAAAATTAATGAAAATAACTACCAATTATAAGAATTAAATGAAACAATTCAGCACGTTAGACGAATTCTAGGAAAGGGAAGAGAAAACAACGTTAAGTTATCGCGAAGCTGAAAAAAACAATTTTGTAATGAGGCCTACACGCGACGTCACATTACGAGGCCTTTTGGACCAGTTACCTAAAATCTTCGAGCCATTACAAAATGAGCTCATTAAAACTCTATATGATGCGATTAATCGAATATATAGTAAATTAAAGTTATTTTTTTAATTTACCAAAGTGGTACGGCCACGTAACAGTGTTTGCTGTTGCAGGAATGGGCAGGTCCGTCCGGATTAGTACCACGACCTCGCAGATGTGTTTCGTCTGGTGAGTGAGGTAATCAGGGCCCACTTTATTAAAAGGTGGCAACGCATCTGCAACCCTACGGGTGTTGCAAATTTTCATGGGCGGTGGATATCATTTAATATTAGATGAATCGCCAGTGCGTTTGCCACTTTCTCAGATAAAAAAAAAAAATGCTAAGCTATAGCTTCGGAGCTGAGGGTCGTGGCTTCGATTCCCAAACGGGGCAAGTATTTTTGTGACCCACAGGGCTGTTAGGCAGGCGGCAACATGATTCGCGTGTTGTGTAGATCCCACCTAAATGGGATAAGGGCAGGAACATGAAGAAAAATCAAACCTACGATTTTTGTCTGCATCAATTCATAAAATTCGCTGTGTAGTTATAATTGTTTAAATCTCAATTAAACTTGTCTGTCCGACGTCTGATCGTGACCATTTGTTGTTAATTCAATTCGACCCTCCCGAAGTTCAGTGGGGGAGGGTTTTGGAGCTGACGCCGGCTTACCAGACGCGTCAAGAATACAGAGCTTTGAAAATTTCGGTCCACTGCTCTATTAGTCGTGACGACAATTTCTTAATCGAAATTGGACATTGCTTTCGCATTTAAAATTTTCTTACGCTTTCCTTTTTAGGGTTCTGTACCCAATGGGTAAAACGGGACCTAATTACTGAGACTCCACTGTCTTTTTTTAATGTGATAAAGTGGCAAACGAGCTGGCGGTTCGCCTGATGTTCAGTGGTAACCGCCGCCCATTGACATATGCAACACCTGTTGGGTTGCAAATGCGTTGCCATCTTTAAATAAAGTGGGCCCCGACTACCTCTCTCACCAGACAAAGCGCAGGAGTATAACTCTATTTGACGCCGGTCTTTTGTGAGGTCGTGGTACTTACCCGGACGAGCCTGCCCATTCGTGCAACAGCCGAGGCTGCTGCATGGCCCTACCACCGTCTGTCTGTTCGTCTGTCACCAGGCTGTATCTCATGAACCGTGACAGTTAGACAGTTGAAATTTTGATAGATGATGTATTTCTGTCGCCGCTGTTACAACAAATACTAAAAATCAGAAGGGATCAATTAGAAAACTAGAATTAGTATAAACATTTGTTGTAATGTTTACTGTAAGTAGGGCACCACTACCACAGTACGTAGCCCTACCACAGTAAAAATTTATTTAAACCAATGCAATTGTAAGTTCTCAATGTTATATGAATTTTGAAGGAGAAAAAAGCATCGCAAAATAATGGAGTTTACTTTTAAATACAGCAGTAGATAATAAAGTGATTTGGGGAATCCTTAGATTACTGATCCTACAAAAAGGCGACAAAATGGCCGCCACTAATGGGCGTAATTATGACTTATGTTAAAAATATGAAGACGCAAATATGGCATATATCAAAAATCGATCAAAAGTTTAGATAAAAGCATAGTTCTATATTTTATTTAATTCCAGCTTTTCAACGTTCTACACAAAATTATTAGTATGTTATATATCACAATGGAACAGAACATTATTCACAGTTGAGAGCGAGACTGGATAATTCTAAGTGTGGAATAATTAACGCTTTAATATTTACAACGGTTAACTCATGCGAGAAACTATTATCGGGGTCATGTTAAATTATATTCAGACCTTAGAGGGGTGCCATATAGGCGCAATTGTACATGTACGTTTGTATAATGTCATTTAATTATAATGTATTATCGTCGTTTTTACGTGAGGCGGAGGCAAGCACACACAATGTTAAGTAAAAACCCCAGCCCGTGTTGCAAAACCTGGAGGGTTGAAGAGATGGGTTGCCAGCTTTTAATAAGCTTTTGGTTGGATTATGAACTTTCGTCATCAACCGCGAAGCTTTTCTCCGCGGCGTCCAAATTAGAAATTCCGTTCGCCATTTTCTCCTAATGGAAACATGGCGAATAATTGACAATATCAAAACGGTAACCGTAGCGACCCTGGATGGTTCGCACACATGGCCACGCCGGCTATGTGGCACATTATGTGCACACTCGCGCACATTTACATAAATTATTATTCCCGACTAATTCGTCCTGGCCGACCAAGGACAAACCTAGCGATCGTCGGGAGACCAGGAAGGACCTAAAACGCCCCGCGGGGCATTTCCAACTTTATTAGCAGCCGCGTAAAGCACATTTTCAATGCCACGGCCGACCCGCCCGCTGTGTTTTTGTTATGGCAACGATTTAGCTACGAAAGGGAAATTTATACCTGAGCCGGGGCGCGCTCGAAAACGAGAGCTATTCCGGCGGGATAGCGTCGCAATTCGTGCGCGCCGAACGAGTGAGAGGGAAGATGGGCGCGCGCATTCGCGTTAGAGAAAGCAAGCGCGATCTTGGTCCGTGACCTATCCTACTGACGAATGTCGAGTCCCCGGAACACCGCATTTTAACAAGTTGTCTAGACGAGGGCGCGTGTGTGCGCGCGTCGAGCCTGTGTGCCGTTGGCGAGCGCTGCCCGTGTGTGTGCGCGTCGGTGTATAGGCGCCGCGTCGGTATACGGGTGCGCGTGTGTGAGTGTGCACGGCGCCCGTGTGTTCCCGGGCATAGAGTTTTCACTTTTTAGTCAAAGGCCAGACGCTTTTGCGGATTTGACGGGCTTCGGTGCGCGCCTTTGTTGGCTCCAGGTTCTCCCTGGGCCGCTGCGCAATTCACTTGTTGATTGTAACGCCAAAGCCGGGCCCCGGGGGCGTTTTCCATCCCTTTGTTGTAAAAGCTGAACTAAGTTTCCATCAAATATTCAGCTGTTGTGGCCATACCATTTCTACAGTACGTTTCTGTTGGCAGTCTATGTCCATGTAACCTTAGCCTTAGTCATAAGAAAACAATTGATAGAAAACTATACACGAAACTTTCTAAACAGGGAAACTTCTACGTGCTCCAAAATAAATATTGAATCCTGAAAACTCTTCTATTCAACAAGTTACCGAACATTTCGCTCGTAAATTATTCCGCAGTACTGCTAAAACGACATATTAAACGTCTGAAAAAACAAGGCACTGCCAGACGGCTGAAAAAACGGGCCTAGGGGATAAAATATCGTAGGCCATTCGTGGCCTCGTTTTCGTCGCATTGCTTGTATAATATACAGAACTTTTGAATGAATTTACTCCAGATGTGGACGGACTATATAAATCGTGCAGTGGAATATAGTGACCTAATGTTTGTCAAAGTCGTAAAGGCTAAACAAACGATTCGCGGGGTCGATTCCTACTTTGGAAAGGTACTCTGCGATCAATAAATCATTTCATTTAACACAAACATGTATCAATGACTCGGTAACGCAGTTGCTAAGCAATCAGCTTCAGCACCGATGGTCTTAGGTTCGATTCCCACACGGAGCGAGTATTAGCGTTACCCGCAGAATTTTTTTCGGATCTGGGTGTTTATTCACAATAAGGGTAGACGAAAAAAAACCTAGCCTATACTATTAACAACACGATTCACAAGTTGTGCCCAACCCACAAAGAAGGGGCAGGAGATAGTAAAAAGACAGTAAAATGTCATTACTGTAATTAGTAGTGAGTTTGTATGCTGGATTCAAATACAGATACTTTTAAATGAAACTAGTTTGTCGTTTATTGCGTTTTTATTTTGATTTTGTAATTACCGGCGTTTAGAACCCTTTCCAGCGTTCATGATCACGGGACAGACTAAGTTTTTCACGTCTTGATGTGAAAGTTAACCCTAGTTGAAGAAGTCTGCAGTTTGTGATCATTGTTTTAAACCCCAACCACTACATTAGATTTGATCAGCCGAAAATCCTCGCAAAAGAACACCGATTTCTTCCACGGATGATCCACGAGGCTATTGAAATAAAGAAACATCCTAATTTCAATAGAGAATATTGTTGGGTTTTATCATCTGCTTGGGATTCAATAATTTAGAAAATTAAATCCAAGCACATAAACACTACTAGACCTCAAGATACCATAGGCTCCTTTTGCGCAGATCGGAATAAAAAGAAACAGCAGAATAATTGACGGTAGCCGGAGTTAACTTTGACTTCAAGACGTGTAACAACTTATTCTGTCCCGTGACCATGAACGTTAGAAACGGTTCGAAACGACGGTAATTACAAAATCAAAATAAAAACGCAATAAAATCCGTAAACGAGTTTCGTTTAATACGTACAATATTAGCGTAAAATCAATAAGTCAACACAGATATTTTTGTTACTCAGACATAAACTATTTATTTCTTAAAGATACTCGACGTGCACGAGCGGATAAAACCAGGTATATTATAAATTAGAGCTGTCACGACTCTCCAGTGTCTTCAACTATAACTAGTTTGAAGGGTAGCTGTAAAAGAGAACGAGGTCTGTCCCGTCTACTCTTACAAGCTTGTTTTAACGAATGCGACACGATCATTGCTGAAGTGTGCATTTAAAATTACTTTTTCAACCAGTTTCCCCACTCAGATTGAGGAGAAAGTTTTTCACCATTAACTATTTTAACCAGTAGCGTAATAACTGAGGGAGTGAAGAGGCAGTTTTCTGGGCGCTAGCTTCTTAAGTCCACAAGCAATCTGAAGTCAAAGGCATGAAACGAAGTTTTCATAATTTATATGCTTATACCCGTGTTTGACGGTGTGGAAGAGCATCGAGTGGACACCTTTATGTCAGAGAACTATTAGAAAATAAAAAAATATCTCACACATAATGAAGGAATATGTGCTTTTATACCTTTTGGTAAAGTTATTACTTTGCCCAGTAGTCTAAACACAAAGCTTTCTGTACTAGCTACACGCCCCGGCTTCGCGCGGGTGCAATGTATTATACATATAAACTTTCCTCTTGAATCACTCGTATCTAGTAAAAAAACCGCATCAAGATCCGTTGCGTAGTTTTAAAGATCTATGCATACATAGGGACAGACAGACAGCGGGACGACTTTATTTTATACTATGTAGTGATTAGAACCAGAACCCAGATTGAGTTAGTTAGTTAAAATTCGAGATAAGTAAAATAAATTACTTCTAGAGAGATTCAAACCCAGGACACGTGGTACTAACGCTATCCTTTATTCGCAACGCCAAGCGTAACTTTATACAGTCCATGGGAGTGAAAGCGAAACATTCATAATAATGATTCTTAGAAATATTATTTTCAAGATGCCGTAAAGACTGTATGATGTAGATATAAAATTATTTTACGCAGAAACGACAAATAAGAAACTAGAAAAACATGCCCCTTAACAATGCGTATACAGACATCATTATAAGATGGATACAGTACACATAAGTTAAAAGATCGAAATGTCTTTTCCTTAAAACATGTAAAAAAGTACGAAAAGATTGTCGCCGCTTTGGGAATCGAACCCACGTTTTCGGCATTCGCGGCCTGACGCTCTAGCCACTGAGCTAAACGGCTGATAGCCACAGCGACGAAAATCTTATCGCCTTCTTTCTACATTGTCTTTTCCTAGAATTTAAACTAGTGTATCCAATAGTTACTATGTTTTAATACGAGTTGCAAGTACAAAAAGCATCAGATGAAGTATTTGTTTAATATTGCTCGATTTGAACCCAAATTTGAACCCCATTGTGTACAAATTGAAAGCTATCTAAGTTTTTGATATTAATCTGTGATATAAACTTGTTCTCGAGACAAAATGAAACAATAGAATGGAAACTGTTCCGAAAGACCTCTTCATTTACCAATGTTCGGATTACTGGTTAACATTTCCATCACATAACCATCAAACTTAACTGTTATAACAAAGAGAACCGTAGAAAAAAAAAACGTATACGAAACTCTCATAACACCGTGCAAAACTGTGTTTCGTTTCGGAATGTATTATACAGGCTGTAACATCGCAGACTGGTGTAGTATGTCAACTTATAGAAATTTCGAGGGGCCGGGGTTTATGCACCCGTCCCGGTTGGGTTCGCTGCACCTCCGACCTGGACGTCCGCTAGACGGAGGTGAAGCAGGATTTTGCCACGACCCTCTCCTCCCCCCCTCGCTCAGACGCCATTGAATAATTATCGAACGGCTCTCCCACACGAATTTTCGCGGCCAGATCCTCTCCCAAGGCTTTATGCTACGGCACAATAATAAACGTAATTTCATTTTACAACCTCTCAAGTCTTTTATATGTAACGGAGTAGATACAGGTTAATTCTGTTAAAGTTTAAATAAGTTTTAATTAGCCAAACTTCATAGTATTGAGCCCTGTAAGGTGTGTCTCAAATGTAATAGCCAACATATGTCCCATTTCTGTGGATTATTTCGAAACTTTTACTATTTTTCCGTGATAAGTCAGCACGTAAAGTTGCAATTAACAATTTCATTGGTACCAGTACCGGGGTTTGAACTAAGTTTGCTTGAGTGTCACGGCTCAGTCCCGGGATCATAAAAATAAAATAGCATTCGAAAGAGAGATCGGAATTAAAATTGAAAGACGAAATGCAATGGCCTAAAATGCAAATAAGGCTAGCCTAGTTTAGGCGCAAAGTCTCCAACGACCTAAATTTTTTTCTTCTATTGTTTGTTAGGCAATACAAATAACTCGTATCTAACTGTGGTAGGGCCACGCAACAGTCTTTACTGTTGCAGGAATGGGCCGTCTGGGGAAGTAGCAAGACTGCACAGAAGGCCGGTGTGAAGTAGAAGTGTTAAACTTCTGAGCTTCATCTGCTCAGTGAGGTTACGGGAGCCCACTTTATTAAAAGTTGGCAACGCATCTTCAACCCCATGGGTGTTGCAAATGTTCATAGGCGGTGGTTATCGCTTAGCATCGGTCGAACCGCCAGCCACCTTCTAACTTAAAAAATGCTGAAGCGATGATGAACCAATTTCATTATTTAAAAAAATGTCATGAGCATCTAACTCATTAACATTCGTATTTTATACGGCACAAAACTATTCGCGGGAATAGAATTGCCGGCAAATTGCTCAGTCTACGAGCCAGTTGGCGGAACAGGTTCAGACGGGGCCGCGGCGGCTGGGCGGACGGCGCGTCCGGGGCGGGCGTCGAACCCGCTGCCTCCCCGCCCGCGCGCTTTCACGGCGGATCCGCCGGGATGGCATAACCTCGGCGGTCGCGCCGGGGTCGTGGGGGATTTCGTCTACGTGTTGCAATGAGACAGTGCAACGTAGGCTTTCAGGGGGAGCCCCTTTCTGACCGGGACTCCTACGTACCGCTCCCCCGGTCTGGATGTATGAAGGATTTTGCCCACGTAATAAAGGTCACCTCGTCGTTTGACATTCCATAATCCATACTTAAAATTATAATTGCGAAAGTAACTCTGTCTGTCTGTCTCGCTTACACTTTAAAACTACTGTATACGTGTATATTTATATGTATGTAATATTTTATAGATTATCATGTTTTTCACTCATCTTTTTATCTCATCTGGCTTTTTCACACCTCCTTATTCTCTCTGTTTATTTGGCGGTTGACTGGTAGAGAACAGCTAATGGTGTTAAGTCCGCCATTGAACGTTATTGTGCATAAAGTTTTTAAATAAATAAATAAATAAATAGGGGAGTTTGTTCACGGTTACGAAATTAACGCCCGTGAAATGATAATCGGTTGGCGTTTAACTGCCTCTTAATAATGTCATGTTGTAGCTTCCTCGTCTAAGCTTCGTTGAGAAATGTAAGTTATTTTAAAATCAACATATTTACGTACATATTTAAGGCCGGTTATGGTTAATATGTTTTAAGCTTTTTGGATTTTGCTTTAGAATTTTATTTAAAAATCGTAAGAAATCGAACAATATTTTTTTCTATTATTTAAAAAAAATTTCACATCAGATGGACTCTGTAATTGATTTACAGTGAAAAACAATTGGAATATTGAGACATTAATTAATAAAAAATGGGAACGAATTTTGCCATATGACTATTTGGTTTTATTTTCTATCTAATTATTAATTTATAGTAAGGTTTTTTGAGCGCACATTCTTAAGACTATAAGGTACCGTTGTAATCTAGACAGCTATTTTCGTATTCTTCGTCATGCGTTTAATTAACCAATTAATAAATAACGATTTAAGGAACTTTATAAGCGCACGGTCTTAAGACTATATAAGTACCGTTATAATCTAGACAGCTATTTTCGTATTCTGGAAGATTGAAGTCAAAATTATTAGGATAAAATTATCCTGACTTATAGACAAACAGCCGAACATATACAGATAATTGTCTCGATGGGATTCAAACCCTCGCTTCATTTCACCGAATCTGACCGATCAACAACTGAGTAATATAAAAGCTATTTTCGATTGATACTGTAGCGATGCGACCGATAGCGGCCTTCGTCGAGCAATTCATGGCTCAATTAGGCCAACGGTTTTTTTTTTAATATTTTCCTCGTAGCTCGTCTCTACTCGGAATCGATTGCGTATTCGATACTAAGTAAACAGGTAATTAGCCTCGGACGGTGATACTTCTGAAAAGGGACGTCAAGGTGAAGTCGACTTGATTGGACGTTTGCGATTTAGTACATCGACGTTAGTGTCTTAGATGGCCGGAACATTACTTCATATCTCTGCAATTTTTAAGATATTTCGGTATTTGTCGATTTTTGTTCAAGTTAAAAGTGGAACGGATAGCTGGGCGCTCGCTTGTAATTCAATATACTAGAGCAACCGTTCAGGTCTCGGTGGCGGCACCGACGTAATTTTTAATTTCAAAAGCTGCATTACCACGTGCCTGCGTAGTCCTATTACAGTACTACTTCTGTATATATAGTAGTAGTCTTAAATACGCTGCTAGAATGCAATCCCGGGCCAACGGTATCAGTACCTGATATACCCTTCTCTAGAGCGTCAGAAATGCTGGTGATAAAACTTAACGAATGAAATCCTTTTTAAAACTTTGGGTGAAAGGGACAACTTTGCGAATAAATTATTTAATATCCTGCAGCGTAACCACCCCGGTGCTACTGAATGCGACCGACAACCTCGACCCCTGGCGCCCGCATCTACGGCGTAGAGGTCGAACTACGCCGCTACGAGATCGGTGTCTACGACCTCACTCGGAACGTTTGGTGCATCGTTGAGTAACGGCCGGTGTCGTTATCAAATGTATTTGTGATGTACTTTGTTTTCGTTTAACAATTTCAACTATACCCGAAGTTTCTAATTAAACGATTTAACTGTCTCAATACCAAGGGAGAATTAGAATATTGTGAATTTAAGGTAGGCCACCGACGGAAAGGCAATTCTGATTAGATACCCGAAGAATAATTAAAAGAAATATGAACCGACTTTACTTAGTACACGTGAACATCCTCTGTGAAGAATATGTCGATAATATAATTATATAATTTCAATGACGCGCTTATAACTATAACTATCATGTAGCTATTGTAATGAGACAATGGATCAAACCATTCCATCGAAATAAGGTATTTAATTAATCACACCGTGAAGCGAACGGTAAAGTGGAATAGTTAAAAAGAAAGGCAGCGGTGAATTCCAAGCAAACCCATGGCGCTGTTCGTGAATGTTTATTAGCGGTGTTGTTTGGGCGGCCCATCGTGGCTTATCGCTGGGCGGCCGGAAGGCGCAAGGGCGGCGCGTCCGCGCAAGGGCGGGCGGCGACCGCGCCACCGGATCCGGCGGCGGTTAGCGCTCTTATCGCCCACGCCGGGATGACGCCGTTTGTGAGTTACGATACTACCGCACGCACAGAGCTCGCGTTTCGTTTTATTGACACGCTATCGTCAGCTATACTGATACGTAATTCGTGTGCGTTCGTATAAGGACGTTAATTTTGTATATCCAAACAATTGGACTGATGCCAGGATGAGGATTATGCGTTCAGATGTTCTAGCCACTAAGCTAAGCAGCGTACTTTGTTTTTATTGCATTTGTTAAAATATTAGCGTTATCTAATGTTATTCCTTTGATTCATAACAAGAAACAATTTCTAGTTTTGAAAATTAAAATAAATGTTTACTTTTTAACACTGAAATTTACTAGAGGGCTCGATAAACTAATTTTATCAGAACAGAACTAAAACGCGCTTAACTACATATAACGCGCCGCGAATATTCCTCATGACCACAGTAACAAGTATTACGAGTGTTTTAATACGCAACACAATATAGGTAGGCGGCTGTTACAGTGTTTTCTACAGAGAGGGTGTTTGGTCGTGGACCTTCCCTAATGCTCGGGTCGGGCAAGGGCGCCATGCGACCTCCAGACAGCCCAGTCGGTGCCCGGGTAGAGATGCGTCTACAGATCGAATTTTCCACTCCGTGTTTGGCGCCGCTTCGAATTTTTTTGGATTGAACAATCTATGATGTGTGTGTTTAAGGAAAACCAATAGTTATTGTTAAGATTTTTTGTTAGTAGGGGAGATGTAGTCGATCGGAGATTTTTTTTTTTTTATCGACATATTTTGCTATTTAAGGAATTTGCGGCAATTTGTGTTGGCTTGACCGCCTACACATGTATCTATATATTCGTATGAAAACATACAGACAGGGCATACTGCGAGAAACGCAACCAGCCTCTTTCTTTAAGAAGAATAGGGTTGTGTTATCAATAATTAACAATTATAGTTATAATGTTACTTAGGTAGTTAGAGTTAGGGATAAATGCTTGTAAATGTTTTCGTTTAATATATGAAGCGTTCACGTAAATAAATGATCACATTACACTACTGTAATCATTGCGTAGAGAAGCATCTTTAGTCATTGAAGGCGGTCTATGGTCATGGAGGAGCATAATAGGGAAGCTCCCCTGATGTTAAATGTTGACCACCTAAGGACAGGTATATCACCCGTGGAGATAGTAGATGCGTTTTTACATGAGTGGGACCCTTGTTTTTTGTGTGGAAGGGATTGGAGAACATATCTTGTAGACTTCCCTTAAAAACATTGCACCCTTACTGTAGGATATCCTTATCCTGTGTTTTTATGGAAAAAGGAGGCGAAGCAGCAAGCCACCTGATGATAAGCGATCTCCGCCACCCATGGACGTAAGGACATGTCGTAAGGACCTTTTACGAACATAAATTTCATGTGGACAAATACCGAGATCCGAACAGTTATCCGTGGGTCACACAAATAGGTGTCTCGTGTGGGACTATTTCTCCGAAAGAGCTTTTACATTACAAGCACCTTGGCATATCGAATAATGTGTGAGGTAGACTGAATCCGCTCAGTTAAAACAAACTAACAGCAACACCAGTGAATGTTATGAACTGCCGGCCATTTTCTGTCAGCAAAAAAGCACCACGCTGCCTTTGCGTTAACCAAACGTTTAAGTGCCGATAAGGTGACCGTAATATTTTCGACTCGCCGTGTTATTTATCGAACGATAAACAAGTGCAGGGTAAACAAGCTGTAGGCGCCCTCCAGACGGAGTGCGTCGCCCGCCCTAGGCCGCCCTTCGTAGCTCCGTCGCTTGAACTACGAGGCCTCAAGTCAAACGCTCAATACTTAATACTGATTCACAAATAATTTTTATTGCCGCTTTTGTAAACTCATTGAAGTCCTATTCGTAATATTCGTGTTATTACTTGCAATTATCTAAGTGTTAGGTTTCGTTATACCAGAACATGTATGCGTTATGAATGAATTATATAGCTCTAACGTCCTTCAATTTTAACGGGGTGCGTAGAATATCCATCAAAGTTATAAATCGCAGATGATAAGCCTTAAGCTGGCCGCAAATCTATCTGTGCTAATGATATATATTTTTCTTTAGAAAATTCTTCTTATCTAAAATGGATAGAATAATTCCGCAATAAAGTAGTTTAACTTTAAGGTACAAAAATATTCTACGTTTTTTTACTAACAATAGTAAAAAAACGTAGAATATTTAATAACATCGATATAAATATTCGTTTTTGTAAATCAAATTCAAAGACGTGTTTAGTTTTACAGAAAGGTATTTTATTTTAAATATTCTTTAGTTCATACATTATGTTTATAACTGTAATGATTATGTCATTTGCTTTGTAAAGTAAAGTAACATCCTATAGATGTCCCACTGCTGGGCAAAGGCAGAGGAGTACAGATGGTATTGGGGCATAGTCCACCACTGCGGATTTTCTTCACATGTCTTCAAAATATATTTCTCTTCAAAGGAAGTCAGCACTTAAAATTAACAATTCCAACGGTGCTGGCACCGGGGATCGAACGCAAGTTGCTCGGGTACATTGAATTAAAAGCGAACGCCCGAATAATGAGCTATCATGGCTATGAAGATACGCCAACCATCTCAAGATTCGTGCAATTGCTCTTTTTTTTACAACACGCTGTTCCTTACAGTCAATATAAGAAACGTTGTATTCTAAAAGTAAAAAAGTAAAGTAACAGCCTATACATGTCCCACTGCTGGGCAAAGGCCTCCTCTATACAGAGGGTATCAGGGCGTAGTCCACCACGCGGCCCCACTGCGGATTGGCGGACTTCACATATCTTGCAGAGAAAATATGCAGGTTTCCTCACGATGTTTTCCTTCAACGCGGAGCACGTGATAAGTTAGCACTTAAAGTTAAAAACTTCATTGGTGCCGGCGCCGGGGGTCGAACTCAGGTTGCTCGAGTATATTGAATTAAAGGCGAGCGCCCGGACGCTGAGCTATCACGGGTTGTATTGTATTGTGTTAAAATTATTCTCGGTGTATCGCACTCGTGCTATTTCACCGGCAGCTTCCTCCGATCTTATCGGTTGCGCTTTATTTGCATCAAATGCGGGGGGGCAAGGTCGACCTGCTACGTCTAAACTATATGCGGCACTATTACTTTGCATCCAACACTTGATTTGACTCCGAAAGATTTGAATATTGTCATAGAGAATAGTTTCTTTGGAAAGCAGTTGTAGACGCTTTGAACCCTAGCGTGCATATGGTCGCAATAAAGTCTATAGTGTAGCCCTTCGAATAACTAATGTGACATAATCATCAAATCATACTGTCTAACAGCTTTATGTCACTCTAATACATTTTTGGATTAAGTCTACCGTATTTTCATCACTTCTATTAATATCTGTTATGAGCTCCAGACTAATTCATATAATTATATAAGTATTATACATTTTCTGAAATCAACCCACGCAACATTCTTCAATGTTGCACGAATGGGCAGGTCAATCCGGGGTAGTACCACAATCTTATAGACAACCGGGTCCCACTTTATTAAAAGGTGACGACGCGTCTGCAACCTTACGAACGTTGGAAAAGTCCGTAGACGGCGGTTATCACTTAACATCAGGTGAACCGTCAGCTCGTTATCCACCTTCTCACATAAAAGAATCTATGAGTCTAAGATTTAAGATCCGCTCTAAGCGACAGCGGCGGGGAAATGAAAAAAACCTAGCTTCATCCGATAAACCAGATTGGGAGTGAAGACTCGCAAGCGGCAAACGGAGGTGGCCGGAGCTATTATCTATGCGGACGACCTCAGTCGGGTATCGAACCCGGCGCAAGTGGGTCAATGCAACACGCGACGTCCCCACGCCGCGGCGCCCGCGTCACCGAGATACGAATGATTGGACGAGCGAATTGCGTAACTGTGTACGGTTATAAACAATCGTTGTGGGTGACGCCGTAGCGCCGAAACTCGCGGTTTCTGGCTAGACCACGAGTTCTGCGATAGATGAGGCTTTAATGTCCTAAGGAGTTCTGTGATAGATGAGGCTTTAATAGTCTAAGGGCTGAAAGCAATTACATCAGTTAATCACTACATGGTATAAAACAAAGTCGTCGCGCCCTGTCTGTCTGTCCATATGTATGCTGAGATCTTAAAAATTAAGCAACGAATCTTGATGCGGTGTTTTTACTAGATAGAGTGATTCAAGAAGGGTTTATTTGTATACTATATTGCACCCGACAGACCTCCCGGGGCGGATAGAAAATGTGAATATAACAGAAGTCATACTGTGTACAATCAATCCGTATTGTATATTTTGACTACACAAAGTGTGAATTTTTTCAACCGCCTTCTAAAAAGGAGGTTTCCAATTCGGTTGTATTTTTGAAGTAAAAACTTCTAGAATCACCTTTGGTTATTTTGAAGGGGGAAAAATTCATAGGTTCGCGTCATCGACATGCTAATATCACGTGTTTTGACATTGAATTCGGTGACGTTAAAATGTTGATATAATTTGGTTTTATAACATAATTATGATCTCTGTAAAATAATAGTTGTTATAATATATGCCGTAGTATTTTTGTCGCGGATTTTAAAATTATTTGCTCCGATTTATTGTTTATTAATTTAAATCGACTCTTACTAATTTCATTTGAAATACATATATAGTAAGTGAACACATTACAAGTTAGTTTTAAAAAATGTTGCATTTTTCAAAATGTTTCATTAATTAGTTAAACTCTGCATAGTATAGTAATTACTTATAGGATGCGAAACGACGATTAATATTTTCTTACGGGTTAATCTAAGAGGCAGTGGAACAACTCTTTCACATCTATGGCTTTATAGTCTAAAAACAGTAACAAATTAATAAGCTCAATTTTCCAGTTAAATGTTAAACGCATTTGAGTTTGTCAAACTTAGTTGAAGAAAATGATGACGTCTTTTCATTTTTAGCAGGGCTAACATTGTTTGATTTGATGAATGGTGCTGTAATTTTAATGTAACGTCACTCACCATTTATGGTAAGAATAAATTTTAAGTTCTTCTTACCAAATGACGGAAACAATAAAACAAATATAATTTTATCATAGAAGCGATAAAAACTCACAAAGCTCTGTTTACTTCACATTTGTTTTCAAGAGTACAAGTAGTATGTAAGAAAGAATGAATAATGAGGAGTTTACGGAAAAATAACAAAAACGTAGATGAAGCAATGCTACAGTAAGTGGAAGACATTACAACATTATTAAATCCTATCAAGAATCACTGATACCGCGTCGATTTGGCAACGACCGAGGAACATTTCGAAATACGTTACAATCGCCAAACGCAGAAGCAGTACGATTCCGTAAGTTGTAGATAACATGTTTTAATAGTGATATGTTAAAGCCAACACTCAGTACAACAAAACCACTAAGTTGTATTTTTATACGTAACAACGTGGCAAGGGAATGGGCGGTTCAGCTGATGTCAACAATCTATAGATCCGTTGCTTCACAGCACTATTTGGTCGGCCTGGGTGCCATAGCACCCGAGAGCACGGGAGTAGTAGTAGTAAAGTCTCAAGGAGGCTTTAGTTGCACCCGGGTCGCGGAAGATTGCGTCATCATGTTCCCTTGCCTCTCCCCCGATCCAGTGGCAGGGGATCTATGCTAAGGTTTTTTTCACGTTATAAACGGCTACCTCACACACCAGACGATACGAAAAAATAAACACTTTTAGTGACGTAGGTCTTCTCTGAGGACTTGGAACTTCCATGGAACAACAGAAGCTGCCGCGTAGGTTTACCACAGTCTTCTTCGTCTTCCTCCTGATCGTATCCCACAATATGTGAGTTCGTAACATTTCCCTTATTCCACTTTCCTCTATCAGCCCTTACACTGTTCCTTTTTACAGATATCATATCATTCTTCACACAGGTCTTTCGCTAGCTTCACAAACTCCAACTACATTTTGACTTTCATCCCTTCTCATAATTTGCCCATACCATGTCAACCTATCGCACGTTATTTTCTGAGACCCTGGTGCGATTTTCAAGCCTTCCTTAATATACTCATTAGCAGCCTTACCACATTAAGGATGTAACAAATACTAATAATGATTTTACGTACTAAATTTATCATGACGATTCATCAGGAAGCTATAAAGATGTTAATTGCAATCCCTGTTCGACACGTGTGGTGAAGGAAAACATAGTAAAGAGTAACCGTATGGTTGAGGCATATATATAGAAAAGACAATATAGCGGTACATACATCACGTTATTCTAAAATGAAGGCACGTGACAGTCTTACTATAAAATCATTTGTATAGAAGATGCCTTTGCCCAGCAATGGACCATATGTAGATAAAGGGTGCACTGAAAGATCTAAGGCAGTAACTTGTTTAAAAAAACTCATTGTATGCCCCTGGAGTTTGCATCCGCAACCTTAAATCAACAGACGGAGACCAGCTACGGAGCCACAACTTCCAGATACTAGATTAGAATTAGTAAATTACTTTTCATCTCAACACACTTGTTTGTTTCATCATCATCGTTTCAGCCTGTTTGAGTCCACTGCTGAACATGGGCCTCCCCCACAGACCGTTTCCTTTGCTTCAATTATACGAAATCATATAAATTAATATTTTCTCCAATTGAACAAGGCGCATCGTCCGCTTCGTAGCTGCAAGGGCGGCTGCCTTTATCGCCGAGAGGAAAACAACGATCCGAGGGAAGTTAACAATCTCGGTTGCATAACGTCTCGGCACACATTTCTGTGTCATTCCGCTTGTAAAGGGCCGCGATTGCGCTTGGAGGTTAATGGAGTCCGGGGGAAGGGCGGGTGGGGGTTGATAGCGATTCAAGTTCTCAAACGCGTTAAGTTGGTTAGATAAGATGAAAACATAAAAACAACTACGAGTAAACCATCCACGCGGGTAAGCGTTAATGGTTACTTATTCCACCTACGAGCTACAGTCTTAAAATGAAAACGCAACCTGCCAGGAGATCCACACAAACTATCAATGCCGTGTGTATAAACCGACGAGAAAGACACCATTTTCGTAACGAGTCCTTACTAAGATTAGGACGAAATAGATAATCTCACATTTAAATGAATTGGCATAGTATTTTATGTAGATTTTTAAGCAATGCTTGGCGGCGTCATCTAGTGTTTCCTCTACAGCAAACGACCACTTTTCAACAGACTCCAAAAGGAGCAGTTTCGGATGCATAAGAGGATCACTATGGGCAGTTCAGCGACTTTTGAATACGCAAAACAGAATCTTGATCTGATTTTGTATATACAGGTATATACAGGTAAACCAGAGGACAGCTATGGTGATTAGGTAACATAGTGGAAGGCGCCTTCGACATAGGATCGAACGTTACCGGTTCAAAATGTAGTGTAGAAAATTCCCACATATTCACCAGATATAGTGTGATACATATTTTAGACTATTTTCGTAAATTCATATCCAGATTGAGGTTATCAAAAATGTAACTAAATTTAAATTTTATTCGATCATTTAGAACTTATAAGACCTTGTTATGGAAGGACGAAGGTCTGTCAAAAATTTGAATGAGTAGGCTCGTCTCGGGGATAACCTACAAAAATGCTAGAGAAGCCTAATCAACACTCGAAAGTAAAACGATAGCGTGCTTTAAAACACATTCAGCGCCATCTAGTTATAGAAAAAGTAAAGTGCTGACTTACAATATCGACCGATATAGATTACTTGATCTATACACCAATTACTCAAATGTAGACCGAATTACTCCCTTGTAATTCGGTTTTTTGTTTTCAGGGATGACCGTCTCCTTTTATACAGTATCACGGAGACAGTCAGAACTAGAATATATACTGCAAAAATTAGTATTTAAAAGCGGACCAAGCAAGTAGATTAGTATCCCTTACCGAAACGCAAAGCTTTTAATGATTAAATCGTAATTTCAGCGAATACTTGTGCAGAAGCAACATTTGTATTTTAAATTTTTTTTGAAGGGTTCCGTACCTCAAAAAGTAAAAAAGGGACAGACTTAAAAGATCACTCTCTTGTCCGTCTGTCCGTGTGTCACTACTGATTTAACAGGAACGCGTGGACCTAGATAGTTGAATGTTATACAGCGTGTCGTTACCACAGCGACAATAAATGAACACACATATAGAGGATAACTTTTTAAAATTATACTAAACATGTACATTCTTTAAACATCAGAGTTATTTAATTTTCCAAAACAAACAATTTTAGAACACCCTTACGTATAAAACTGTAACGTAAAGTTTATTTGTAAAGGTTACAAAGCTCATAAATGGGTTGAATGAATTTAAATGAGACAAAACATACTGTTAGAGGGAGAGGCTTGTAATGCGACGCTGTGGCGCGAGTTGTATAGGATGCTACAAATTTTGTTTCTTTTTTACTTAATTAGTTTGTTTGAAAAATATTTGTTTTTAATTATGGATTTTGTTTAAAGTTAATACTTTTTTATGATTATTGGCAAGTAGCGTTAGACGTGTGTTCATTTATTGTCGCGATGGTAACGACACGCTGTATAAACCTAATAGGGACTATAGATCTTAGTATTTGGTATAAATTTCAACGTGCTACGTCCACCCGTCCCTGACAAAATCGGTGGCAATTATTTACCAATTTTGTTACGGCGGTATAATGGTAAAAACTTGACCGGTTTTTTCAATCAAAGTATCCGAACTTAACAGATAGAAGATATATTCAAGAATTTAAATAGCAAATAATACAGTAGCTAATCATTTCCAACCTTCGTAAAGCTCAGGCGGGTGGCGTTGCCTTGTACCTGGGCAATGTGAGACAGTAATATGGTTTGAAATGCATTGGTTCAAACAGGATTCGAACCTCACAAACCCAACGCCGCATTATCTTTTGTAAAACACATAAAGGTAAAAGCGAGAAAAACTACAGCCGACCCTCAAATTAATTCCGTTCAAATTGCTTTATATTACCGATTCGTTGGTCACGTTGGAAACTGGAACGGTCCCTGTATTATTTTTGCTTTATTACTTTATACGATCTCCGAAACAGTTGATTGTTGTAGCCGGAGAATTCCCACGTTACAATAATACAGGGCCAATGCTATAAGGGCGAAAATCGCGTGCGAGTTTGCCGGTTGCTTCCATAAATAATGCCTGGCGTTGTACCTAGGTCTGGTCTAATATAGCTCCGAAAGAGCCCCCGGCGACCGCGTCGCCATGGCAACGGGCGGGGCGCTCCAGCCATCATATCATTTATTGATGTAAACGATGTAAACAATTTAGGTTTTGCTTAATTTAGAATATCTAAGAGCTCCTAGGTTTGCGGCTGAATCGAATATCTATGCAATGTTTATTAATGGTGCATGATGTCTATATGCTGTACTAATATTTTATAGATTGTGTGGTGCAATGTAACTTACGATAAAATAAATAAATAAAATACTAGTTTATGTACATTTTTTGAAATCAATTAGGTTACATTTACATACGACTTGGGAAGAATACAATATTTTACGATCCGAGTTTCGAAATATTGAAGGAACATTGCTATCAGCGGCACCAGCTGTGCAGCCCCGGTTAGTCAAATGTGTATTCATCACCTCCAAGCATTAATAGTTTAGTAAAAATTATAACTAATCATTTTTCATCTTGTTTAGATTATATTATATTGCATGAGAATGAAAATAGTGTCTTAAGTCAATTGAAAATGGACTTTATCTGACCTATTTCTCATCAAAACTGGGTTCATCATTAGATGGGTAATCTTGTCTTGAAATGATTAAACAAATAAGTAAGAGAATATTTAACCGAATACCTACGGTAGAATTTTCTAGATCGATGAAATAATTAAGGTGGAAAAAACCTGACCCAATGCAACGGGCCGTGCTCCCGACCGCTAGTTCGACTTGGCGGATCGGTTTTTTAACAGCTCTCGTACAATGCAGCGATTAGACTTAAAAGGATAGCGTTTGCGCCGGCATCTCGGTTGGTCGGCGCGCGGCGTACGGGAAAATGGACTTTATCGGCGCGCAGTAGGCAACACTGGGTACGCATCGGCGGTGCAACGACCGAGGGGCGTTTGCGGCTAAGCCACTGGAAATAGGGCCTTAATGCGGTGCAGGAGAGCAGGTGGCGGCTGCGGGCGGTGGTGGCGCTGTGGTAAGTGGGGCGGACGCCTTGAGAGGTGCATTTGCATGGCGCGGCCTCGCGCGGTCGCCGGCCTGTGCGCAGAGCGCTGCGGTTTCCTTCCTTCCCATCTGTTAATCTGTATCTGCTATTGCTGCCTCGCGCAAGGCGAGTAATAACCTACCACCTTCCCCCCCCCCCCCCTCATACCTCCCCTTTTTATGGAACACGATAATGCTATTGTGAATTGTATTAATAAGTTGTAATGTTTAATGCAGTTAAAAGAAATAAACGTACACATCTCTTCCGAATTAAGTGGTAGTGATTGGTGATTCTGAACTATATGAGGTTAAAATATAAGCTTCAGCCGAAATATTGGTTGCTACCATGAATGCACAACTAGAAAAAAACTGTAAAACATTAAAATTTGTTGTGAATGTCGGAAAGTTATATTAGTGTAACAAGCGCTATAATTATGCTGTCAGAGTAATAATATAATGGTTACGTTTATAAGTGCGAATACCTGGAAATCCTTACTAATATTAGAAACGCCAAAGTTTGTATGTATGGATGGATGTTTGTTACTCTTTCACGCAAATACTACTGAATCGATTTTCATGAAAGTGTACAATAATATAGATTATACATCAGAATAAGACATAAGCTATAATTTATATACATATTTTAAGTATTTATGTATATCTGTCTTTCTGTCTCAATGTTACGCCTTCAGCCTATTCTACGCAGACGTAGTCGCGAGCAGTAGCTAGTGAAGAAATAAATATGACGAAATTGTGATGAACACTAGATTAACTACAGCCATAACAACAATGTAAGATTTACATTCTATTTATAAAAACACTTAAAGCGGAATCTTATATTTTTCCGTTTGACGTATTGCTCGAATACGTCATCGCGTAATCGCGGTCGAGAGGGATAAAGGAAATATTCAGCAATACATCCCTAAGGACCCCTCATAACCAGTGGAGGGGAAGACGAATATACGAGCCTTGTAAATAATCAATATTTAGAACAACACAGATATCTGTATCGATGTGGTGTATACTTATTCCTCAGTTGAGTTATGTTTTGAAGGAATTAAACACATAAGCCGTGATAGCTCAGTGTCCGGGCGCTCGCCTTAATTCAATGTATACTCGAGCAACCTGAGTTTGATCCCCGGTGCCGGCACCAATGAAGTTTTAATTTTTTAATTTTAATTAACTTTAAGTGCTGAATTATCACGTGCTTCGCGGTGAAGGAAAACATCGTGAGGAAACCTGTATATTTTCGAAATAATAACAAAAAAAAAATGTATTTCGAAAATATGTGAAGTCCGCCAATCCGCAGTGGGGCCGCGTGGTGGACTATGCCCTGATACCCTCTGTATAGAGGAGGCCTTTGCCCAGCAGTGGGACATGTATAGGCTGTTACTTTAAACACATAAAAACGAGTATAAGGAGTCAATATGTTGGTTAGTCAGACACTTATTGTTTAATCCAGATGTTATTTGCATTAGTCATAAAACGCTAATGGTTCCTAATGGCGTTGTAAATAATTCATTCGGCTAGAGAAAATGAAGGCATACATTAAATAGTTCGTAAAGCGGTTTACGCCAACTTCTCTATTAGCCAGTGAATAACGAATACTATTATATACTGTCACGTTTCTACCAACCCATACAGAGGTGGGTAGTCCTTGACCCTATTTGTCTAGCTTGTAGACATTAAACGGGGCGTAGATGAAATAAGTTTTAAGATTACCAACGGTCGACTAAAAATCTGCTGTTTTTGAGAGTACGAATATTTAAGACGGAAAGTCGTTATTTTTGGAGTGTTTTTGAAACCGGGATGTGGTGTATAAATTCAAGATATTATAATGTTCATTTTGAATACAACTTTTTAGGGTTCCGTACCCAAAGGGTAAAACGGGCCCTATTGCTAAGACTCCGCTCTCTGTCTGTCTGTCTGTCTGTCCGTCAGTCCGTTCGTCTGTCAGCAGGCTGTATGATCTATCTGACTATGAACCGTGATGGCTAGACAGTTGAAATTTTCACAGATGATGTATTTCTGTTGTCGCTATAACAACAAATACTAGAAAAACGTTAAAAAATTATTTAAGTGGCGCTTCGTTTTATTAGGGTTCCGTGCCCAAAGGGTAAAACGGGACCATATTATGAAGACTCTGCTGTCTGTCACTATGCTGTATCTCACGAACCGTGATGGTTAGACAATTGAAATTTTCACAGAACAGAATAAAAATATTGAAGTGGGGATCGTATACAACAGACATGTTTATTTTTGCCGTTTTTATAGATAATGGTACGGAATCCTTCTTGCGCGATTCCTACTCGCACTTGGCCGGTTTTGAATTTGAAAAGTTGTTAAGCGAGCGGGCAGTTCACCTGATGTTAAGTGAACACCGCCCATGGACGTCTACGACCCCGGTTACCTCACTCACCGGACGACGTGCCACAGCTTTACTATGATTTAAAAGGTATTTAGAAAGTTTTTAAATGTGAACACGAAAAGCATACCACTTTAAAAGTAAAAAAAGTGGTGATACGGAATATGTTGGTCCTGAGTTTGAGCAACGAATTGCAACAAATTATTAACTTATCGTACTGTAAAAAAACACGATACGTTGCTGGTGTGTTGACGCCTTTATCTAGAAAGCGGCGATCGATGGACTATGAAATGGAACTAACCGGGCCTGAAAAGACCGCCCGTTTCATAACTTGTAGGATATATTTCATTTGACTACACCGCGTGCGCTCTTGTGATGTATATGATGAGAAAATGAATTATCGCCGTAACATTTTCACGTTTTTTTGTGAATCTATTTTTACATAGTTATACTAGGTGACCCGGCAAACGTTGTTTTGCCATGTAAGTTATTTGTAGGGTAAAAAAAAACTTTGGGGTGGACCACCCTTAACATTTAGGGGGATGAAAAATAGATGTTGTCCGATTCTCCACCCTGGCAATATGCACACAAAATTTCACGAAAATCGGTCGAGTCGTTTCTGAGGAGTTCAATTACAAACACCGTGACACGAGAATATAATTATATATTAGATTATTGCTGAAATAGACATCCTAAGTTCTTTATGTATACGCTGTAACAAGAAAATGCCAGGATTTTACAGCTGGCAAAATCTGGCCAACAACAACGATGGACAGTTGAAACTCCACTGAGGCGTTCTTCGATTAGGTCTAGCAATTAAGATCTGTGAGAGTCACTTTGCAATGCGTACATTGTGTGGTTCCGACTAAGTCTAGGAAACTTTTGGTAACCGAGATGGATAAAACATCCTCGCGTTGCGACTTTACTGCAGGATAAAATCTTCCTGTGTTGTAAGGAGGTGTTACAAACATACATTTCACGTGCACAAACGCCCGGACCCGAAGCAATTATCACGCAAATAGTTGTGTCGCGTTAGAATCGTACCCGCGACCCGACCGGCGAAACCTAGGCGCCTGCGCTGCGGAGTCACTTGCCCAGTCCGTCCGGTGCTCCCGACCGCCGACCCAACATACCTATCGCGGCAGCCATCGGCGAATGTGGCGGCCTCGCGTTCCGTTACATAAGCCATGCGCATATGCCGGCATCCTGTCCCACTTGCGGAGGTTAACCGGTCCGCGTGTATGCGGCGCTCGCAAAAACCGTCCGCTCTACCGTTCGCTTCGTTCGTTCGCCGTTTGGCTTTTTCCGTCAGCAGCTGGGCTCTACACGACTCTATGTTTCGTATTACGCGTGCGTTCGTAAAAAGGTAAAGGTAAAGTAACAGCCTGTACATGTCCCACTGCTGGACAAAGGCCTCCTCTGTACAGGGCATCCACCACGCGGCCCCACTGCGGATTGGTGGACTCACGTATCTTCGAAATATTTTTTTTTTTATTATTTCGAAAATATGCAGGTTTCCTCACGATGTTGACTGTTGTTTTGAAATTAACAATTTCATTGGTGCCGGCACCGGGGATAGAACTCAGGTTGCTCGAGTATATTGAATTAATGGCGAGCGCCCGGACACTGAGCTATCACGGCGTCATTATTATAGTACCACTTCGTATTGCTGAATAATTACGCTGTCAAGTCCCTGTGGCTGCTGTTAAGCATATAAGCGTCGGGCAGTTTGCAGTTTTATTGATGTGATTATGTGGGCACAAATAGCTATTAAAATATTAAGTAAAAAGAAATTTACGGATATTTTTGCGTTCAATTCAGGTTGTGGTTCTCGATGTTTCGAACACTTAACAGAGTCGTACTGCTCCGTGATCAAATTATAACGCGTAAGTTAGTTTTAAAATTAGAGGTACATTTTTCGTGATAAAACTCTAATAATACTTTGTATTTATTACAACATTCATCAGTGACGCTTCTAAAGGTTTCGCGGTATTGCGTTTCGCCGCAAATTCAAAAGTTAAAACTGTTCGTTGCGAAACTTTTTCTATAATTATCTCAACTTATCGATCGGATATATTACTGTGTTTATAAATATACACAATAAGCCGCCGACTAAGCCCACAGACGCACAAACAAACTGAGTGCAGGTCCATAATATTTTTCGATGTAAATTGAAAGCTATTGATGTTACAATTGCCAATTAACACGGCAGTGTTGCGTGATTAATGAGTTCAAAGCCCTAAATGGCGACAGAAGGTTAGGTCTTGGAGCGCTTGTTGTGACGAGTGGCACTCGAGCTATCTAAACCTAACGCAGATAGACCTAGATTTAGGTGCCATTAGGCGCGCGGTTGAGGCGCAGAATCCGCCGATTCAGAGATAAGGGCTCCGTACGCCAATGTAGTCACCATTTAAATTTAGTTTCTATTGGTGAGTTTAAGAACGAATGCGTTTTATTATCCTGTTAGATAGATGTGCTGAGCTTTCAGTTTCCTAGATTTTCGGTACAGTTATAGAATATAAAGGTTTGTATGGCTGATAAATAATACTTTCTACGCCACGGCATTTTGTCATACAAGGGTAGAAATGTTTAATCCACTTGCATCACTGTGTTGTATCTATATTATTGAAATGAAAAACTAATGCATTAGCATACCATGTGATAGCTCAGTGTCCGGGCGCTGAGCTATAATTACGGCATCAATGAAATTGCTATTATAAGTGCTGACTTATCAAATGCTCAGCGGTGAAGGAAAATATTGTGTTGTATCTATATTATTGAAATGAAAAACTAATGCATTAGCATACCATGTGATAGCTCAGTGTCCGGGCGCTGAGCTATAATTACGGCATCAATGAAATTGCTATTATAAGTGCTGACTTATCAAATGCTCAGCGGTGAAGGAAAATATTGTGTTGTATCTATATTATTGAAATGAAAAACTAATGCATTAGCATACCATGTGATAGCTCAGTGTCCCGCGCTGAGCTATAATTACGGCATCAATGAATGTTATATAAGTGCTGACTTATCAAAATTGCTGTTATAAGTGCTGACTTATCAAATGCTCAGCGGTGAAGGAAAATATTGTGTTGTATCTATATTATTGAAATGAAAAACTAATGCATTAGCATACCATGTGATAGCTCAGTGTCCGCGCGCTGAGCTATAATTACGGCATCAATGAAATTGCTGTTATAAGTGCTGACTTATCAAATGCTCAGCGGTGAAGGAAAATATTGTGTTGTATCTATATTATTGAAATGAAAAACTAATGCATTAGCATACCATGTGATAGCTCAGTGTCCGCGCGCTGAGCTATAATTACGGCATCAATGAAATTGCTGTTATAAGTGCTGACTTATCAAATGCTCAGCGGTGAAGGAAAATATTGTGTTGTATCTATATTATTGAAATGAAAAACTAATGCATTAGCATACCATGTGATAGCTCAGTGTCCGCGCGCTGAGCTATAATTACGGCATCAATGAAATTGCTGTTATAAGTGCTGACTTATCAAATTCTCAGCGGTGAAGGAAAATATTGTGTTGTATCTATATTATTGAAATGAAAAACTAATGCATTAGCATACCATGTGATAGCTCAGTGTCCGGGCGCTGAGCTATAATTACGGCATCAATGAAATTGCTGTTATAAGTGCTGACTTATCAAACGCTCAGCGGTGAAGGAAAATATCTGAAAACCCGTTGTATTTGCACGTGGATTATTTGCCCTTCCACATTCGACAAGCTAAGTCACTTCTTCCTTTTAAAAACCTATTAAAAGCTCATTACTTGGAACTGTGAACTCATGCTTTCCTTTTTCATGTCCTTTCCTATTTTTCCCGAAATTTTTGACTATCGAATCGATGTATAAATGCCTTCATCCGATGTTTACAAGTGATTCATGTACACCTCCCTCTGCTCTGTTCTTTACGTCTCATTAGCAAAAATTCTAATCTCTGAGCGATTAGACCGCCTATTGTACTTCCTTTTGTATTCATTTGCAATTTGCTTTATATTTTTATTTTAGAAATAATGATAATAAAATATTTTGAACATATATGAAGTCCGCCAATCCCCAGTAAGGCGTGGTTATGCCCTAATACACTGTACAGGTGAGGACTTTCCAGTAGGACTATATAGGCTGTTAATTGACTTTTATTTTTTTTTATACCAAGCGTCATCGCTCATGCGGTTATTGCGAATCGGAATACTTACTTTTAATATTTTGCAACTTGTTAAACTGTTTCAAATACAATAATATAACTCCCGGCTAATAATACCTTTGTGCGCACGGAGGTATTAGGCAATGCGGAATTCGTTAAACCAAATACAAGAAGGCAGAATTTAAAATAAAATAAAATAATTCCCGATTGAAACGCGAAGTGATTTGTATTATTTTACAAACATTTATTTATTTATTTTTATAAATATCCTCGTATATGATATCAAACATAATAATTCTTCTTTATTAACACTAATAATAAAAAGATGCAAATCACACAAATTCGTCGTCTAAAGAAATATTAAACTATCTCTTGGGATGTCTGAAATGTATGAAAAATTCTAAATGGTATTATATTATCCTCATAATCTTGTCTTATAATTTCACACATAATAGCGACTTTAGTAGCCAAGGAAAAGAACACCAAATTTGATCGTTAAAAGCAACATAACAGAGATGAGACTAACTATAACTACTAAATAGAGATAAATAATTAAATGCGTTTACAAATACTAATTATTCATTAACTAGTCGTAAAGTAAACATTAAGATACCAAAGAAATGTGCGCCGATTATAAAACCGGCTTTAAGACTGTTATTTACACGGGTGGTTCATTAAAAACTGTTTAATCTGCCTTTTATGACTCGGCTTGTACGTCATTCTGTTGTCAGAGCGTTGAATAAAAAATAAGTTCGCAGGACATAGAGCAACACGCTAGACCTTTTCAACCGCTACTCGCTAGCTGCGACGCAATCCCTCCAGGCATCAACCGAGGCTCAAGGATACGGGCCGTGTAAAAGGCGATATATCAGATACGAGAATGTTGAACAGTTGCGTATAATTAAATAACGCACGCTTGTACGCGATTAAAGCTTGTACGAGATTTGTACTCCCAATCCTAACTGTTGGCGTGGTTACTGGCGCTATAACCACCGCCATTGTTCTAAACCTAATTTTAAATACATACGCTAAGTGGACCATAGAACAGACCTTTAGTGGCCAAAAACCGGGCTTGAATGATCGCGAAGTCAGTGAACTGGCTTCCTCTACCAAGCAGTGGAATGAATCGTTGATTTACAACTTACGTTTTCCTTACCAGTGAAACTGTTTGCTGCAGGCACGTAGTCTCTTCCGGGATAAATGCCGCGGAATTATTATTAGATGAACATCCCACTAGAATTTTCCTAGTAATGTGTCATGATAATCTCTTATTCCAATAGCTATTTGCGAGCTATTTAACGAGTAGCAAGTTTAAATGTAAACTAGCCGATACCCGCGGTTTCGTCTGCTTTGCTCATGATAACTAAACACATTATTGAACACGTTATGAACAACTTTACAATTAATAAAGATATCACAATATTCTTTACGTTTTTAGATAAGGGCCAAGTTTCTAAGAAATAAAACTTAGAAGAATTAATTGATACCTATCTAAGTAAGCAAACGTATTTTAACGTACGCACAGCTTAAACCAGCGAATCGTTAAGCTTACTTTACAGGAGCGTACCATAAAGCGTAACTTGTGTGGTGAGCCTAATCTCGTCAGGCTAAGCGAGATTAAGTATTAAATTAGGGTAGACGATTAATGCCCGGTTTCTGGCAACTCAAATAATGTTTGAAAAGTCATTTGACAGCTGATTAGTCAACTTCTACGATGATCAGTGTTTCAGAAAACGGATGAACAAATGGCCAATCACATAGCTCGTAAAACCCAAGAGAAAGGATGGTAGTAGCTGACATTACATTAAATACGATTTAGAACGGTCCTCAAAATAACCGGAACACAAATGAAACAAAAAAGAGAATGCATCCATTACTTTATAAATTTTCCATAAATCAATTATGTCTTCGTAATGCTCTGGTACTACGTACGCGTTCCTACTAAGCTGCTGCTACTACTAAGCGTATAATGTACTACTACGTATAATATACCATTTTAGAAATAGATTAATAAAGACAGACAGATA